CGTCGTCCCTGTCAAAAACCATTTGACTGTGATCGTGGGGTGGCCGCGCATGATCCAGATTTAGCCGCGAGTGCATTGTGTTTCGTTTGTTGACAGGGATGGTGGCTCTGCGCGCAGCAGGCACTATGCTGACACCCCCGCCGTCCGTGTTCAAAAACAATACAACGTGCTCGCGGGCCTCACGAACATGACACAAGGGTTTGCCCCACAGTATGCTTTTGTATGGTTTTTTTGACAGGGCTGGTGGTAAAGGCCCGCATCGGGTTGGTTGCGCATGCTCCGAGTTTGGAGGCATACTTTTTTGACAGGGATGATTCTCTGTGTGTGTGTGTGTGTGTCTGTGTGTGTGTGCGTGTGCGTGTGAGCATGGGGGCGGCATTGTTCCTGGTTGGCTGCCGATCGCCTGTGGGATGGGGTGCGTATATGGGCGTGAATTAAGTTTGGCCGTTTTTTGGCATAGCCGAAGTAACGGCTACGATGCATTCAAATTCCGTTGTGGCATGAGGGGGTGATGCCATCTGTGTCGTTGTGATATGGAGCTGGTTGCATTGAAATATCATCAGTGCTACTTGGGCCCAGCAGCGCCTGAGTCCCCCAGTGACTACGACCACCCAGATGCCCGTGGCAACCACATTGCATCGCCAAGCCCATCCCGCATCCTTCCACCCTGCCTCCCTCCAAATGGTCCCAAAAAATTCCAGCAAGAATAAACTGGACGAATGTGTATTGGATTTGCGATAAGAATCGTAACTGATGCGACCACACGCGCATTTCTTCCAAGAGAGTCGTTCTTTGCCTCTTGGATTCGGCCTGGGCCAGATGAATGCTACCTGAGCCCAGCAACGCCTGAGCACAACTGTGACTGTGAGCACGCTGCCGCCTGTGAGCGCCACATTGCCAGTGAACGCCAGGCGCGCAGAGCACAACAATATGGATAAATCCTGAAAGTTGATCGGCGCACGCTCCTCCCTCATCTTTTCACCCCTCTTCCCTCGAAATTGTCCCAAAAGTTGCAGTGAGGTCAAATTTGGTGAATGTCAATGGGATTGGCGGTAGGAGTCGAGACTCTTGCGACCACACGCGCGCTTACCTCTAGAAGGCCATGTTTTGAATGCTGGATTGGGCCTCGGAGCCGGATCAGTACTACCTGAGTCCAGCAACGCCTGAGCACCAATGTGACTGTGAGCACCCAGCCGCCCGTGAACGCCACATTGCCAGCGAACGCCACTGCTGACAAGCAGCTCAAGTACGCAGAGCACGACAATATCAATAGACCTTGAAAACTGATAGATACAAGCTCCTCCCTCATCCTTCCACCCCGCCTCCCTCCAGCTTGTCCGGAAAGTTGCAGCAAGGACAAACTGAATGAATGTGTATTGGATTTGTGATAGGAATCGAGACTGTTGTGACCACGCGCGCATGTACTGCTAGAAGGCTGTGTTGTGACTGCTGGATTGGGCCTCGGAGCCCAGGTCGAACCAAAAAAACAGGATTGGCAACAAACAAACTGAAAAAGTAGCCCTGACGGGCGGCTTGGCTCCTCAATGTCAGTGTTTGGGGGATGACAGCAGTATGTCCCCCAGGGAAGGGTGGCGTTGGCTCCCCCAGCACATCCCCCTCCCGCAGGGGGGTAGCGCCGCCCCGTGGGCCTTTCCTTGCTGAAGGGAGAAGGGTCGGCCAGACCGAGACGCGGCCAAGCGTGGCCGGCGGCGTGGCGAGAACGCATATCGTCGTGGTCGTCGTCGTGGTCGTCGTGGTCGTCGTCGTCGTCTTCGTCGTCGCCGCGGCCGGCGCTGTTTGGAATGGGGCGCACGCCATCTGCAGGGGATGTCCCGCGCGATTCTTTGGTTTGGGACTCGTTCGGGGCCAGATTCCACCTGTATTTCCAAGGACGCCTCGAGCGAAACGCTCGCTTCCCAGTTTCTCGGGGCCCACCTCTCGTGGTTGGAGCCGCTGTGGAGCCGTCAGGAGGGCCATTTCGGCGCGGACGCCCCACGCAGTCTGGCATTTTGGAGCCGCCATCCCACCGCGCGGAACCAGGTTCCGATCGTATTCTGAAGGAAGTCCCAGCAAAATGCTCGTTTTCGAAATGGTTGGAACTATATTCTTTTGTGCCGAGCCGAGTTCGAACCGTCAAGGCAGCAATTCTTGTGAGGATGTCCCACGCGGTTTGCCGTTTTCGAACCGCCATCCTTTTGTTTCGAATCGGGTCGGACACCGAATTTTGAAGGAAGTCCCACGCGAAACGCTCATTTTGCTTTTGTTTCGAACCGGATTCTATTGTTTCGAACCGAGTTCGAACCGTCAAGACAGCCATTTTTGTGAGGACGTTCCACACGGTTTGCCGTTTTCGAACCGCCATCCCGTTTGGCGTAATACAATTTTCAGCATGGTACCAAGCCCCAAGTTGTCCTCTGCCCCGAAAGCGGGGGACCTCCCCCGTAACATTGTACCAGGCTCCATGTTCCTAACGGGGCGACTAGCGACGTGTGCTCGCATTGCGGACGCAAGATGCACTTTACCCGTCAAAATGGGGCAATCTTTCATCACGGCACAATATTGATAGGGAGCGGTGATAAACCCCTCCCAGAAGGCGGGATAATGGCAGATAGACGAAGAAACGCGCTAAACCATTCACGTCCAGAAGGCTGGTGGGACTTTCTTTTCGCAGCTCCGCGCGGATTCCTTGGCTCGGGGCTGGAGGCGCCGCCAGCGGGCCTTCGCAGACTTTTTGACTCCAGCTTACACCAGCTCCTGGACAGCTCCTACGAGGTGAATCTTCGCTCTTCGCGTCGTGCCCCGCTTTTCTGAGGTCGCAAAGCGTTCCACAGCGAGCGATGCGAACGGTTTGTTCAATCATTGGCCCGCAGACCAGGCACCCGTTTACTTGGAGAACGAGTATGGGGAGAAGGAGGAGGCTGGCGTATGATTGAGCAGGTGTTCGCCGAATGCGTCACTTTGAAAATCTTCCCAGGCTGACTATGCCTCGAGTCTTTTCAATTCTTCACCCTTCGCGTATCTCCACCAGCAGTTTCTTCCGCTTTCTTCGCTTTCCTCGCTCGTGTCGCTCTCTTCCGCCCTGCTTCGTTTTCGCCGCCCCGCGCAGCCGCTGTGTTGTGTAGTGGCCCCTTTTTCCCGCGTCTGGCCGGCGACAGTTGCGCTGTGACCCCCGGCCTTGCTCGTAGCTCGACCTTTTCCGACGCCGCGCGGGTGCCCGCTCGCGGTCGCGACCCAAACAAGTATCCCCACCAGCCTGGGACGACCCTTGACGCCGCCTGCGCCTTCGCTTGCGGCCGCGACCAAAAAAATATCCCCACCAGCTCATTCAGAAGCCCTGCCTATGAGAGCTGACGGGAAAAGGGACGAAGAGACACATCTAGGTAAACAAAGCGAGCAACCAGGGTGAACCGAGTGATCTCTGGGAGCAAGGAGGGGGCCTTGGAAGGCCTTTTCTGGCCATCCCTGGGGGCCGCGTGGGGGCGAGGAGAAGAGGAAGAGGAGGAGGAGGAAGAGGAGGAGGAGGAGGAGGAGGAGGAGGAGGAGGAGGAGGAGGACGAGGAGGACGAGGAGGACGAGGAGGACGAGGAGGACGAGGAGGACGAGGACGCGGATGAGGACGCGGATGAGGTCGAGGACGAGGAGGACGAGAATTAGGATGAGGACGACGCGGACAAGGATTTATGGAACCATCTAGATGTATTCTTGCGGCTGCTGCTGCTGCTGCTGTTGCTGGTGCTCTCTGGGAGTTTTTGGGGCCCTCTTGGAACCCTCTTGGGATCATCTTAGAGGTCATCGATTACAGGATCGGGGGGTCCCCAACTCCGCTCCCCCCTCAGGTGCCCGCGAACCGCTTCTTGGGGCTCTCTTGGAGCGCTCTTGGGCGCTCTTGGGGCGGTTTTGGGGCCGTTTGGAGCATCTTGGGAGCCATCTTGAGCCAGCTTGGGTTATCTGAGCCATCTTGGAGGTCATCTTGGGCTCTGAGGCCGCTCGGGGGCCTCTTGGGGCCGTCTTGGGACCCTCTTGGGACCCTCTTGGGACCTTCTTGGAACCCTCTTAGGGCTCTTTGGGGGTCATGGGGTCCTCTTGGGGCTCTTCTGGGGCGTCTTAGGGCCCTCATGGGGCCCTCTTGGGGCTCTTTTGGGGCTCTTTGGGGGCCCTCCTGGGAGCTATGGAGCGCCTCTGGGGGCCGTCTTGGAGACCATCGATCCAAGGAGGGAGGTCCTCGATTTGCCTCCCCTTCCGGGGCCACCAAAATCGCCGCCTCTTGGGGCCCTCTTGGGGCGCTCTTGGAGCGATCTTGTGCGCTCTTGGGGCCATCTTGGGGGCCTCTTAGACCCCTCTTGGAGCTTTCTTTGGCCATCTTGGGGCCATGTTGAGGCTTCAAAAGCGCATCGGAAGCGAAAAGGCGAGAAGGCAAACATCATTTTTGTTCCTTAGGTTTTTGAAGGATTTTGGATTCTCGGGGGGGCCCCGGGGGAGCTCTGAGAGCACCTGGAACTGTCTTGTGGCCTTCTTGGGGCCTCTTGGAAGCATGTTGTTCGTTTTCTTGAGCCATGTTGGGTTATCTTGAGTGATCTTGGAGTCTTTCTTGGGTTCTCTGAGGCCATCTTGGAGCCATCTTGATAGGAAAGGGGCCCTCTGCCCTCTCGCGCCCCCCCCCGTCCAGGTCCGGGGGAGGAGGTAGGGGGAGGGGTAAACCCCTCCCCGAAGGCGAAGAGGGGGTTTTGGAAGAAGAAAGGAAGACATCGTTAGACCACTTGCGCCCAAAGGGCTGGTGGGACTATGTGCCGGGCGTGACGACCTCTGCCTCCTCCCTCTTCTCCTCTTCCTGTTCTTTTTCTGCATAGACTCTGTACCTGCATCAGTAGAAGTGGGCACTGGTCCAGGTAACAAGCGTCCAATGTAGTTCCATGTAAGAGTGGACGACAGTTCTGTGAATGGCTACGATGAACATTGATCCGCCCCCACTCGTCTCTCCAAACGCCTCCCCGGCGGTGCAGTCTCGTTGACTACTTCGCGGGCGAGAGGGAGAAGGAGGAATGATGCTGGTCTTCGTCGATCTCAGTCGCATGCACGTGGCCTTGTCAGCTATGTGGAGGGCAGCAGCGCGCACAGGAGCGAGTTATCGAGAAGAATTATCACCTGCACCGAAGTTCGAGGCCGACCTCCTGTCAGCCTAGACACCCGATGTCATGTGAACTTTGTGTGTGCAACGCGTCGCCGCACGTATTCTTGTGGGTGCGTGCTCGTGCGCTTGATCGCACTCCATTCTGAGGGCGTGTCAGAGCTCGGAAGTACAACCTTGCGCTTTGGAGTTTGTGGTTGTGTGTGTGCGTGCGTATGAGAGCGCGCACGCGTGCTAAGGCACGGGCATCGAATTCATGGCTTGTGCATGATTGGCAACCGCCGTAACATTCAATCCCAATTCTGCGACATTGCCAGTTCCACAACCCGACCTCGAGCATCGAGCAATGCTGAAGTTTTGGCTTCTTTCCCTCTGAATAGTCTCAAGCCTGGAACACATCATAATGCGAGGGTTGCAGAGCAGCTTTGTGACATCTGTCTCGTCCACTCATCTTGGGCATCCTTGTGACATGTGTTTCGGTCTGTCTATCAAGTCTTTCTGGGCGGGTGTCCCATATCGCACAGCGTCAGCGAAGCGCAACCGAGTATGATTACGATTGAATGTAACCGTCATGTCGTCAGGGCCCTTGACTCGTAAACGCCATTTTCTCTCGCCCCGCTGTGCTACTTTGCTTAGCCTCTGCTCCCGCCTCTTTTAAACAAAGCGCATCCGAAGGGACGCATACAGATCCTACATGCACGCCTACGCAGCCCACAGCCACAAGGAAGCCGGCAGCACATGAGAGCGAGATCCTTCCGCCGTTCTCAACCCTGCTCCTTGTCCTTTTTCTCCTCGTCGCCAGGGCGCCAAGGATCGCTTCCTCGTCTCCTCCTCCTCCTCCTCCTCCTCCTCCTCCTCCCCCTCCTCCTGCTCCTCCTCCTCCTCCTCCTCCGCCTCCTCCTGGGCGGGAGCTGATTCACCGTAGTGGTGGTCTGGCGGGCCCGCACCGCGCTCGGCGAGCGCGCGCAGGAGCCGACAAGGGGCCTCGGCCGAGCCGGTGGCAGTGTTGGGCGCCCCCACGCGGGCCACGGGGCTCGCCGAGCTCCGCGCCCGAGGCCGTCGTCGCCAAGCGGGTGGCTTGGCCAGCGGGTGGCGGCGACGAGCGGCAGAGTGTGCGTGTGTGCGTGTGCGCGTGTGTGCGTGTGTGTGCGTGTGTGCGTGTGTTTGTGTGTGTGTGTGTGTGCGTGTGTGCGTGCGTGCGTGCGTGTGTGTGTGTGTGTGTGTGTCTGTGTGTGTATATTCCCTCTCTCCCTCCCTCTTGCCTCGCTTTACCGCTGCTCCGCATCGGCCCGGGTAGGTGCTGTGATATCCATCGCCGAGGGATAGAACCCTCTAGCGCTGTCATCCTTCCTCTACCTACAGATCCCCTTCGGACGGACGGTCGGGCCCTTCGGCTTCTTCCCTCCGTTCACAGAGGCCTGGCGGCAGGCGGAGCTCACGCGGCAGCGGCGACCTGGAGAGCGGCGCCGCCAGCACCCGAGATGCGCAGCTTGAGGAGCTGCGCAGGCATCTCTGCGACAGTCCATCGCGGCCATTCTACGACTTCGTGCCGCGTGCGCGATGGGGGGCACGCCCTGCTCAGCAACGACCAGTCACCGCGCAGGATGCATGACTGGCTTGCTCGCATCAAGCCGACGGAAGAGGTACATGGCGGTGTACTGCCGAGCGCGCACAGTCAGGGAGAAGGAGCAGCTCGAGCAGCTGCTACAACACGATTGGCAGAAGCACAGTGTCTCCAAGGAACGGATCGTGCAGGCGGAGGGCGGGGCACGTGACCTGGCCAACAGGGTGGGCGAGTAGCGCAAGCATATCGAGGAGCTCGAGGCGGCCTGCGGCTTGGACGTCACGCTGAAGGACACGCCGCCAAGGTACGCGTCCTGGACCTGTTCGGTGGTAATTCAGGGGCACCCACCCACCCAACACCAAACCACGCCGCCAAAAGACGCGTCCTGAACTAGTTCGGCGGAATGCGACCATGGGTATCCTCCCCCCGAGCACGCCGCCAAGGGATTCGTCCTGGACCAGAGTTTGAGCAGACAAGCGCTGTCTGAAAGGATTCGGAAGGGTGCCCTTCCCGCCAGCACGCAGCACCTTGTTTGGACAAGGAAGACCACGACCCGTTCGCGGACCTCGAGGACCACGAGCGCGAGATCGTCGGAGGGGCGGGCCAGTCGTGATGCGTCAAGCACCTGCAGCGCGACGACGACGCCCAGGTGGCCAACGGCCACCAGCCGATATCCGAAGAGGTCGAGACAAAGGTGGGCATCGGTGGCGGCCAAGCGAGAACCACGTACGCGTGCACGTTGGGGGCCCTCGGTAACCAGCAGAGCACCGCGGGTAACCAGGGTGCAGACGGTCCCGGCCCTGTGTGGAGCCGCACAAACAACCCCCAAACAAGGCGCGCAGAGATGCGCGAGGGTGCCGCAACAGGCGCGCGGCGAACGCGGCTGCCCGTGGATAGCAGTGGTGGCGCCGCTGCTTGCCACCAGCCTTGCAGATGCCGCTGGTGGGCGAGGATGGCATGTGCATGTCCAACGTGCGAGGTCGGAGCCGGACGCCGACTTCGACGATGGCTTCGCGTGCCTCTCCGAGCTCATTGGCGGTGACGGCGGCGGCAGCGTGCTGGGCCTCGGCGCCGAAGGGGATCCCCATCCTACGTAGTGTTTCAGGCTCCCTTCCCAGACATCCGTCGGTCGCCCCTCAAGAACTCGCGGGCGATATATGCAGTGCGGGCGGCGGTGTACCAGCAGGTCCACACCACCGTGCGTCACGCAATAGCGCAGGCAATGCAGTTGGCAGGCCATTACTGCGTGCAGGAAGCCCAGAGGATGAGGAAGGACCACGCCGACGCGATCAAGAAGAACGACCCCGAGCCCGAGTTGGACAAGCTCGGCGCTCCCCACCCCCACCTGTGGTTGGCCATGGTAGGGGCCGTGGTCCAGCAAGGAGTCGCGTGCGGAGGGGCCAACCATCGGGCGCTCAAGACATGCCTCGACGCGATCAGGGCCGACGATGTCACTGCGACAGACAAGCTGCGAGGTCCGACATTGCATAGTGTCGCCCGCCCGCGGCCGCCAGATGATGGAGACCCATATCGAAGCGAAGGAGACGGGAGTGCAGTCACCGTTGCTCGGCCCCTTGGAGAAATTAGGCGCGGAGCTGAACAAGGGAACGCCGCCGAAGTCGTAAAACGGGAGGCTGATGCGGTTGGTACAGGACAGCGTGGAGGGCAGGTAGAGACACGGACCTTGGTGAGCCCCACGAGTTCAAGAATGAGACCGATTTCGACCCCGATTGCCACCAGGGGATCTGGGGAGCTGGCGACGCCGATGGGCCGACCTCGTCGAGGGGCGCTCGTGATCCAGCTTCGCCCCCCTGCGCCCGCAGCTCCAGGCCCCGACGTCTTCGTCGAGCGCGCTCCCTCTGCGTTCGGGAAGGGAGCCTCTCCTCTTCTTGCCCCTGCCCCGGCTCCTCCGGCCCCTCGCCTCGCCTCCTGCTGCCTCGCCCAGTGCCAGCCAGCATCCTGGGCTCCTCCCTCCTCCCTCCTCCCTCCTCCGTCCTCCCTCCTCCCTCCTCCCTCCTCCCTCCCTCCTCCTCCTCCTCCTCCTCCTCCTCCTCCTCCTCCTCCTCCTCCTCCTCCTCGGGGCCCGCCCCCCGACGGGCTTCTGCGGCGACGCCGCGGTGCTGTCCTCCCCGGGGCCCTGCCTCTCCCGGCTCTGGGCGCGAGGAGGGGTGGGCACGTCCGATGCCTGGCACTCACATAGTCACGAACGAACAACACACACCCATACCCATAGGGGGGTCGTTGGGAGGAGGACTGGCCGTGGGTATGGGTGCGGGTTGTCGGACCCTGGGGAACGCTCCCGTCCGAGCGGGGACCCTCATTCGACAACACGTACCCATAGCCCTCTCCGACCCCCCTATGGGTATGGGTGTGTGTGTGTGTGTGTTGTTGGTTCGTCACATACTGGCTGCTGGCAATCTCGGTTTCTGCAGTTTCTCGTACAGTTCTTTCCATGTGCTGGGTTCACTTTACCTCTGCCAGTGAGACCGACCTTCTTTGAGTCCGTGCCTGCCCTGCTCGCCCGAGCGCCCACCTCATCTGCTGTGCCGCATGGAAGGGGCCGCG